ACACACTTCCACCTGCTCAAGTTGGATGGTCTTCTCATTAAGTCAGCTGAGGAAACAGGCCCTGCTCTCTGGACCCCGTCAAACTGTTTAAGAAGGTTTTCTTGGCTCTACATGCTGCTCTGTGTTTTTAATGAAATTAGCTATTTGACAATGCATGGCCCTTTCTAGTGAGTGAGTTTAGTTTGAGGTTGTTTAGCTTGTAAACACACAGAGTTTAGAAACCACGAATGATAGAACATCTAATTTTTTACATACGTCTTTGTGTTTTCTCAACTTTGGCCATTAAATGTATGACTTTTAATGTATCCAAATAAAATTGTACCAACTTTCCAAGATTAAATACACCATCCATCCATTTTCTGAACCCGCTTGTCCACGTAGGGTCGCGGGGAGGCTGGTGCCTATCTCCAGCGGTCAACGGCCAATTAGGCGGGGTACACCCTGGACAACACAGGGCAACACAGAGACAGACAGGACAAACAATCACACACACACTCACACCTAAGGACAATTTAGACAGACCAATCAACCTAACAGTCATGTTTTTGGATGGTGGGAGGAAGCCGGAGTACCTGGAGAGAACCCACACATGCACAGGGAGAACATGCAAACTCCATGCAGAAAGATCCCAGGCCGGGAAGTGATCCCAGGACCTTCTCGCTGCAAGGCAACAGCTCTAACCACTGCGCCACTGCGCAGCCAGGTTAAATAAATACTGATAGGTATAATCAAAATTGCTTGAACACGTTTTAAATTTAACATATATTTTCATTAATGTGGTTGTGTAGTAATAACATCTACTGCACTGAGCTTAAAAGTCAGACACCCCCACCCCCACTTTCACCCCATGATGATGTTTCCTTCTTTGATCTCAAACTAATTAGCTTATGTGCATTCAGAGATAAAATAAGCTATCTGACTCTGTCTTCCTGATGTTTGATTTTAAAAAAGAGGTTGGATAAAGAGCTCAGACAATCATGGCTTCCACAGCTATACAGTACTGCACCTTCTTCAAGTGTAAAACATTTTTAATGATAGATCAAAACAAAAACTGCAGGTATAATATTCAGCACAAGTCATGATTGGATGCTGCAGATTTCTACCTGATTTTCTGTTTTAGAGGGAAAAAACACAAGACAGCAGAAGCTGGCTTCACTGTCTTCTGTGTTTTAGTAAAACTCAAGTTGCTGCATTCATTGTAAATGATACATATTTTTTAAATGACAATTTTATTAACTGTGTGCATTCATGCGTGAATTTGTGTGCATGTGTCCATGCGTGTGTGCATGAGTGCGTGTGAGTGTGTGTGTGTGTGTGTGTGTGTGTGCGTGTGTGTGTGTGTGCGTGTGAGTGTGTGTGTGTGTGTGTGTGTGTGTGCGTGTGTGTGTGTGTGTGTGTGTGTGTGTGTGTGTGTGTGTGTGTGTGTGTGTGTGTGTGTGAGTGTGATTTTTTTTTTGTGGTTCTAAGGACCTACTTAGGCCTAGTCCACACATAGCCGTTTTTTTTTTTAAAACGAATATCCGCCTCTCCAAATACTTGCATCCACACCACCTCATTTAAAAAAAAACTCTGTCCACACGTACCCGGATAAATACGTTGTTAAGGACATGGCAGACCTGTAGGCGGCAGTACTTCCCCCGTTCTTAACCCCGTCCTTCGTCTGTGGTCTTCCGCAAGGAGCAGTAATTCCGCTTGCAAAAACAAACAAGCAAAAAGCACTTGGACAATTGATAAAGCGAGCGCAGCTCTGAGGGCATCCATGCTGTCGGCTAGTGTAAACACAGGTCGCACACGTGATGTCAGCATTTTTTTGTCGCGGAAAGTGACGTTGCGGACCTTAAAACTCCGGTTTTGTCTGTCCACACGCAGACACCCAAAACGGAGAAAACGCAGATCTTCACTTTGGGCCGGAGTTTTTAAAAAGATCCGTTTTCGTGTGAAAAAACTCAGTTTTTGTGTGGATGACAGGCCAAAACGTAGAAAAATATCTACGTTTTGGCAGATCCCCGGCTACGTGTGGACAGGGCCTGAGAAAACAATTGAAGCAGAATCTCTATTGAAGAGGGATTTCACAAGTAGCTGACATTAGCGAACACAATATGGCCGCTTCAGTCAATTTGAAAGATACCGAACAAACATTTGTTGTCATAGTACCTGACAGTCATCCCCATCACACACCTAGCGCTAGATTTTGCAGATCTTTGCGTAAACATTTTGACATCATTTATACAATCAACCCTGACCGTCATTCAGAAAAATATGTCATAAACCACTGAACAGATTTCACAAAACTGGGTAAATTGGGTCATCCCAATGAAAGATGGCCGCAAAAGTTGTCAAAACTCAGTCAGTTTTACAGATATTGATTTTAAATTGAATGTTGTTCACAATAGCTGCTCTGGGTGTTACTAGTTCGCAGATCTTGAGAGATGAGATTGTGTTATACCTGTAGATTATTTTTAAATTTGAGGTGGTGAGATTATGAACGTGAAAGCAAAAATGTGGACTGCATTCATTAGAAAAATAGCCATTTTAAAAATCAGACTAGTCACCCACTTAATACTGGATTATTAGAAGCAGTAGATAAGATTCATGTTTATGATGTGGGGAGAGATTTCTCCCTGACTGTTTCCTTTGTAATGCTGCTCTGCTGCTTCTCTACTCCATCAGAAGTCAGACAAAGCGTGAGTTATTCATGGATATTCCACGACAGGCTAAACCAAGCTTCTGAATCCAACTCCTCTGGCAGGGTTTTACCTCCTGCATCAAATGTAGTCTTTGATATCAGTCAGCCCAAAGCACAGAACCAGCAATGAAGCCGTCATGCTGTTTTTTACCAAACTGACTTTTCTACTCCGAACAGTGCCGCCTGCAAAGCCTCTGTAATCCAACCTTGGAACTTGCCAGTTTCTTCGAGTTTGCAGAATGGTATCACCTCTCCTCCCTCTTTCTCCACCCACCCTTGTTTTCACCTCCCAACCCTTGTAACCAAGGCCAGATTAACCATACGGGCAACAGGAAAATAGTTTAATAAAAACAAGAAAACAAAACAAAGTGTGAAAAAGTCAAATATAGGTAGATTTATCTCCACTACATGTTTTTACCAGTATAAAGCTATACACATGTAATATTTATACATTTGATAGAGTTCAGATCACCTTCAAAACTCAGTCACACACCCAGGGCCGTTTCAAGGCATTTTGGGGGCCAAGGCAAAACAGAAGACCCCCCCCCCCCCCCCCCCATCCCCCCCCCCCCCCCCCCCCCCCCACACACACACACACACACACACACACACACACCCCAGGGTAGGTAACTCATACGCTGCCCAGGAGTATTAGATATACAGTGTTTATAAAAACACCTCAGACATCACTGACATGTTCTAATATTATCAGATGAACTAAATTATCAGACATGCCGTCTCATCTGCTGCTTTTCTAAACTTGCAAAAAGTAACAAAACCATTTGAAAGCCGCTATTTGTGGATCCTCTGAAAATTTCCATGGAGTGTGTGACAACTTATTTTATCATTGATCCTATCATCTAATCTCCCAGCTGAAACAAGCATCCTTAATAATCTGTGCACAGGAAGCTTACCGATGCTGTAGTAAAACAAAAGGTATAATAATTTATTATTAATAAAACCTTGTTGCAGCACTAAAGCAGAAAATGGAGATTTTGCAATAAATATGCAAAATATTTACATATGAATAGTTTTAGAGCCCTTTTATTGGCAGAATCTGATATTAATTTAGTTCTTACAAAAAAATGGGTCCCAACATGGTTTGTGGTATTGCCATAGTGTGATGTCGTAAGCACAGATCCCCTGTCCTCTTTTTTGGATATGAAATTTGGTACTCCTATATTAAACAAACTGTCCACCCGGGCTTTTGCGCTGCACAGAGACATTCGCTGCCTATGACTTTGAACGTCAGTTGAGAGTCAGTCTCATGCAGACTGACCAATGAAGAGAGGGCCTCAAGTTAAGACCCTCTCCTCATTGGTCAGTCCACACGAGGTGGGTCAAAGGTTACCCTGAGCGAGTTACGTGATGTCAGGCATTCAAGAATTGAGTATATTTACTGCATATTACAGTAAAATATTCTGTATGTGACCCTATTATGGTGATCCTTGGGTCATGATGATGGGGCCCTTTAATATTATTGTTGCCCAGGGTACAACAAAGTGTTAATCTGGCCCTGCTTGTAACTCTGTTTTCCGCTGTGTTTCTGAGCATCTCTTTATTACCATACCTTCTACCAGCCTGCAGACGTTCTGCCTCTCCTTGTGACCCCCTGCTATAGCCCCAGAGACTCTCTCATTTGAAATGGCTGAGGACTGGAGGAGACCAGCTGCAGTTTTAATGATTTTAACCCCAGGCCCGGCTTAGTCAAAGAAATGTGGCTTACTTCTTGTTTTTGTTTTGTTTTGGGTTTTTTTTGGGGGGGGGGGGGGGGGGGGGGGGGGGGGGGGGGGACCGCAATAGAGAGCTCATTCCCTTTGGGACACCTTTGTGGAATATAAACATGGGTTTGTTCACAAATAATTAATCAGGGTCTTTTTTTTCATTTGCAATCAAATCTTGCTGCATATGAACCACAGTCGCCAGTGCTTTTATGTTGGTGCAGCATTATTGAGAACAGAATCTGATGCTGAGCGGAAGGTTTTTTATCTCTCCTCTAATCTCTGTGTTTGCCTCTTTATAACTCCCCCCCACCCCCCACCCCCACCCCCTCCCAGTGTGTCATGCCGCTCAGGTTTGACAGCAGATCTGCAGCACATCCTGCAAACTCATTGCAATTAGCATCATGCGCTCCAGTGCATAGCAAGCCACTTACCGATGAAGTTCAATCAATTTGCTTTAATTATAACTTCCACAGAAACACCTCTAATCCGCCCAAAACTTTGATCTCCGAGGGTTTTGTTCTCAGTTTGGAAAGTAGCTGTTTGTGTGTGTCTATGATTTTACATCACTCACAGCTATTTTTTTTCTCCAGATATTGATGACTGCCAGTCTAATCCGTGCCAGAATGGAGGAACCTGCATTGATGAGATCAACTCTTTTGTGTGTCTTTGTCTGCCCAGCTATGGAGGAGCGACGTGTGAAAAAGGTAAAAACGAACACAGCAAACACAGCTTTGCTATTTGACTCAATCTTAGTTCAGTGAGAGGTAATAAAAGAGGAAAAACAAGGCAGATGAGAAGGACAAGTAAATTGAAAAAAGGTGGTGGACAAAGCCGAGGAGGAAAGGGTAACTGAGGAGACTTGAGACGGTAGGGGTGTTTCCACTATTGGAACTTTAGGGTAATTTTACTGGAACTTTGCAGCATGTGCGTGTCACTTCAGTGGGCCGACCGAAAGGACCTTTTTTGGGCCATGTCAGGAACCAGCAGAGTACCTAAACAGGGGTAGGTACTCTGAATGGCTGCTGAGTGGGATTAGTGGTTAGCTCACGGTGGCTGGTGGTAACTCATCAGCAGGCATCACCTGGCATTTGTAAAACTAGAAGAGATGCTGTTGAAGCAGAATGGAAGAAAAAGACAGTAAGCAACATTCACGCTGCTTTAAAACCCTCATTTCTGCGCTCACAACAACAAAGCAGCGACATTCCTCAACAACTTCATTCACAGGGCTTTGTTGTCTCACAGAGAACTGTATTAGACAACGCCTCTTCTGGTCATTGAACTCCACATTTTACATCACACAGCTGCTCTCCTGATCTTCTGAATGGATTGAATGCATAGTTTAATGTTATTAATGTTCATCGACGCCCTTTTGTGCTGATCAGTGACATCACTCACTGCCAAAGCAGTTACAACGTGCTAACGTCTCAGCAAAGTTCTGAATGTGTTGAATTTGTACGGAGACGCAGAGACTGAGGACCGAGCCATCGTATCTCCCGGTCAGTTGTCCTCCTCCCAGGAATCTCCTGGAACTCCTGTAGTAGAAACATGACAAGTAAAACAGATAGATTATGAAAAATGTTAAAGATTTGGAAGATAGAGATCTGGGTACAGATGGATCAGAGCAACAGAAAGTCTAAATTAAAAAAAATAAAAAATAAAGACGGGTAAAGATATTTAATGAGGTTGTGGAAATTATGATGGAGGAGAGAGAAAAGGAAAGCCCTGAGAAATAATGTAGTGAGTTTGTGAAGGACGCTTCTGTCCAGACGGCTTGTCTCTTATTAGGATATGTCCTGTAAACGGGACACGATGGGAAAACCCAGGAGAAACCAGGAACGGGGAGGTTGCTGTTTGCAAACAGAAGGTTACAGAGACACGTGCCCAACATGCTTCTGTACAACTACACCGAGGAATACACACAGCTGCTGAACGTTTGACGCTTCACCCTCAACTGATTCTAACAAAGCAACATTTATTTTATAAGATGAGAAGGGAAGATCAGGAAAGGAGATGAAACCTAAGCAGGTCAGCCGGGCTTCTTGACCTTTGACCTCATTTTGCAGTTGTGTCTTGGAATATTTTTAATAAAGGTTTTCATGGAAGTGGTTTCTCTGTGATTTTTCTGATCTGGGACTCTGAGGGCAGAATGATCGATCCAAAAGCCACAGAGAACAGAGACCGAAGCAAACTACAGAAGAAAATGCTTTAGGAAATATCAAAGTTTTGTCCGATTTCTACAGGGAAAAGGACATTTTAGCAGGATAAGGTCCTCACCTTAACCACCACAGTTCTGTTCATGAAATCCTAGACCGTCTTTTACAGCTTTAATGGGATTTCATCACATCTGTGTTAGATGTTTATATGATCGCTCTAATTTAAGATTAAGGAATGAGTCAAAGCAGGCTAAAAAGCAGGTTAAGAAAAGAACTTGATTATCTTTGTTGTTTTTGTACAAAAAAACAAAAATCTGGTGCTGGTCAAGGTTCTCCGCCACCCAGGTTGGCGCACTCCAAAGGCAGCTGGACTTCTTTGAGTTCTTGAAGACATTTTGCTTCTCATCCGAGGAGCTTTGTCAATTCTGACAATATGGGAGGGTCAACCCTACCAACTGTAGCTGTCTGTTCTTGTTTAATGAGCAGAAAATACAAACAAATACCCCTCCACCCTACCCACTGGTGAGCTGTTAGCCTCTATAGTGTGTGAGTCGTGTTGATCCCGTTTTGGGTGCATTGACGCCCTCCTGCATCCAATCAGTATCACTCCATAGAAGCTAATGCCTCATCGGGGGGTAGGGAGAAAGAGGTGGGGGTTGTTTAAATTTGAAAGCTTTTGGATTGGTGTTGTAATTCCAGCAAACTAGATTAGACAAAAAATACACAAACAAGTAAATATTTTAAAATAAGTTCTAATCCAAAACCTGAACGAATGTGAAATCAGGGCAACAAAAGACTAACAGAAAAGATTGCGCTGATGGCCAAGTATGAAGTATTGTCAGTTAGATGAAGTTTCCGTTCAGGGACTTGGTGCATGTCTGTGTTCAGAGGCTGAATCTTCTCTCTTAGCTAAGGAGCAACAACAGATAAATGGTCTCAGGACTCTTCATATTTGACATGACACAAGACTGATGGGAAAACTCACCTTTTCTCCTCCAGACAGTCCTTTTTCCAGATGCTCCAAACAATCAGAAAGGGAATTCACCAATGAACCTGAACCTTTTTCATGGAAAATAGAGGCTTCTTTACTGCCCTTTCTGACACCAGACCATTCTCTGTGTGCATTCAGGTGCGCTCACAGCCACCTGCTGCTGGAACCCTAGAACAGCCCTGTCATTTTCAGGAGAAACTAGAACTTCTCACCTCTTGGGTGCCCTGAAGTTTTTATTTTCTTTTTTCACGTTAAAGTTTCTTTTAGTGGCAAACCTTGTTAAAAGTTATAATCCATCTGATCCCTCTTCAAAAAAGTTTGAAGCAGAAAACTTTACGACTAAGTAATCATTCTTTGGCCACAACAGCAAAATATTTTCTTGTAATTCTGCTCTTGTGCAAAAATGAGCTTTCCACATTTTTAAAAATCAGCTTTGTCCATCCATCCATTGTCAACCGCTTATCCAGAGCCAGGTCGCGGGGGCAGCAGCCTAAGCTGAAAGGCCCAGACTTTCCTCTCTCCAGCCACTTGGGCCAGCTCCTCCGGAGGAATCATAGGGGCCATTCCCATCTGTACCGGATCGGCCCGGGCCGGGTAGCCCCAGTCGGCCCCAGCCTGGCCCGGTTGATTCCACACATCCTTGTCTTAAGTCCATGTGGGCTGATTCTACCCACCAATCAGAGGCTTGCTCTAATGGAAGGTGTGAATTTGCTGTCAGCAGTGGGTGTGTTGGCCCTGGTCGGCCTGAAGCAGACCCCCTCGAGAAGAGGGCTGAGAATGAGCCTTGGTTGGCCCGGAAAAATACCAGGCCACCCAGATATGTAAACAACCTACGCTACCCGGGCCGGGCCGACCCGGTACAGATGGGAATGGCCCATCAGTGTTCCCTGGCCAGCCAAGAGACGCAGTCCGTGCAGCGTGTCCTGAGTCTTCCCTTTGTAAATAATGTTATATTTAATTCACTGATTCTTTTCTCCAGTGTGTAAGAGAAAACAGCTCAGATCAGATTTTGGATTCACTACTAAAATATTGCCTGGAGATTTCCTACTGAGGTGGGTTATAAAAGCATCGGACAATAGTGTTACTTATATGTGTCTGTTTCTAAGAGCTATTAGTAACTATCAGTAACTATTGGTAACTATTAGTAACTATTGGTAACTATTAATAACAACTGAATCCATTTTGTATCTTTGTCACAGAGTTGACGTCACCTTCAGGACACAACTAGATTGGCTCAGAGCCACAGAAAATGTGCCCTCACCATAATAAACTTTTCTACCATTATTGGTGCAGCTTTGTGTGAAAATATGAAATATGAGACCCTGTTTGTTCCAGAATCATGAATTTATTACTGCTTCACCAAAGTTATCTGGATTTAAATGTTCAGTAATTCTGAAAGGTGAGCCACAATCTCCACTTTATTTGTACCATCCGTCAAATTAGCATTAACCCTTAGCTGCCGTGCTTCAGCTGCCTTCAGAGCCAATTATATGTTGGTAATCAATGCTTTAGTTCTCCGGGGCTTAGAGTTGGAACATGATGACTCGATAGAAATCAAGTTATGTGTTATAGTCCCAAGAGAGATGTGTATGGTGGATTCTTACCCTCCATTTATTCCAAATTAGCAATTACCACCAACTCACCTTTTATAAGTAGAGATTAAGTGAGAGGGGGAAGAAGCTACAACGCATAGTAAACAATGCACTGATCCAAAGGAAATTCTGTGATGCGCTTAGATTTTTTTTATAATTATTAGTATTTCATGTTCTGAAGATTTTTACATTTTTCTGTCTGAATTTGTTACATTCATCAGTAGAAATACAAGACTATTCTTAAATCTGCAGCTGTTATCTCCTCCCAGCTTGTCTCCAGAGATATTAGACAAAATGTTGGACAAAACGGTGTAAAAGTAAGACTTTTAGGGAGCCAGCTCTAATAAAATACGTGTTAAAGGTTCTCTAAAGTGTAGCGCTGCTAATTAGAGCGAGAGATACAAACACTTCAATGTTTGAAAGCTTTTCAAATTAGGACTCTTCTCACCTCTGCTGTTGTTATATTTTAATTTTCCAAACTTTATTTCACACACACACACACACACACTGCTTCCTTCCATGCTGCGCTGCTGGCGTCGTGACTGATTGGGAGCAGCAGGCCTGCTTGTGTATAACTAAACTCTGTTTTCCTGTCGCTTTTGTCTCTCGTTGCTCTGCGCTTGCAGAAACAGGGAATTCAGCATGTCATTTCAGCATGATCTCAGTTTTGCATCCAGGGGGGAGGTCTGAGCTGCAGCAGGAACGATAGAGATGAACTCATTTGTTCTTCTAAAGCTTCCATCCATTTAAATGCCATCCACTCAGTCGCTATCCCAGCTAAAGTGGTCCAGTTTTGTCTGCCTGCCTTGCCAGGTGCTTGATTATGTTTAGGTGCATGCTCAGGGAGCTCACAGCTTTAGATGCAGACAGATACAGTGCGCAGGCTTCCTCCAGCCTGTTACCATGGTGATCCCATCTTAGAGTCAATAATAGTAAGTTGACAGGGCTCAAATCCTCCAGCGAGTGTA